TCTTTCATTTTTCTGCCCACTGTTATGTGATTGTAAAGATGTATACAAATATTTTACCCAGAAATTTTTCCTTTTTTCTTTTTCAGACACTGTGCCCACCATATTGCTATAATTAAAACTGGATTGCTTCTAAAAATGATCTTTAAAAGAGAAAAAGGCATAAGAAATCTTAAATCCTTTCTAACTACTCTCTTTCTCTTTTCATTACTGGTTTTGTTAGATCATATTCTATAAATATCCCAAACTAGCATTGGTTGAATTTTTTAGTTTTATTTCTCTTACTCAAAAGTTTATTTTGTTGTTGTTTTTCAACATAAATTTTATATAAACTAATTCTAAAATGAGGAGTGGAAAAATTGGAGGGGCATAATTGCATACTGTGCCATCAAAGTGTGCTAGAGACAGAGAAAGAGTGTGCATGTGAGTGTATGTGTATCTGTGTGCACATGTGTTCATCCATGTGGGTCTGAGTGTATGTACATGTGTGTGTAACCAGGTATCTCTGAGGACTCAGAGGCATGGAGAGTAGAAAGACTTACATTTTAATTCACACCTTTTGACATTTTTCAGCCTATACATAGACTATGCCTTTTTAAATAACCCTAAAATTGGGACCACAGAGATTGTACAGAAAGTAAGGTGTTTCCTGAGCCTTCTAGAGGTGATTCCTAAGAGCAGATTCAGGAGACAGCACCACCAGGTTTGGTCCAAAAACCAAAGTAAATCCACTACCTCCAAAATAAATAAATTAAATTAAATAAAAAATAATCCTAAAATAATTTAAAAATTTGACATTTTATAATGTGACACATTGCTGGGACATGTATGTGGAAACCACAGAATGTTGCAGGTGGCTTGGGTGTGCAATGCTTGCCCACTGCAAATGATTGCCATTTGTGGAGAAACAAGAAACAAAGCAGGTTTATGGCTCTGGCTGTATAACCTAGTGAAGCTGGCTTAATAGACCCATTTCCTCAGGCTTCCAAATCAGGACAGTCATTCAGTAGTTGATCTCTGTACTTTGGATGTTCGTGAAGCATTGTGTCATCATTCTGATTGATCCGTTTTTTGTGCATATCATATTTTTAGGCCAAAGTTCCTGATCTTTTTTTCAGGTCAAAGTTCCTGGATTGAGGTCATTTTCCTTTGCATAATCAAAAATGATCAATACATAAATCTTTTTTATACATGCTAAGCTTCCAAAAAACGATCCAGTTTTGTAAGATTTTATTCAATTATAAGTTTTGCTTTTACATAATCTACTCTGTTTTCCCTTCTAAAAAAAAGAGTTTAGATTCGGCATCAGTGGAGTCTATTCTCCATGTCGCTCAGTCTTCACTCTATTAATGACACCTTCCAATCACACATCTTGGACAAAATTCCAATTGTTTATGTCTAATAGTGAAACCAATGTAGAACCCAATATATCATGGGAAGGAAGGAGATTTTCTGTCACAAGTTCTAGCCACCATTCCTAGCAGAATGACCTTGGAAAGAAGGGTCAGAGGAGTAGAGATCACTGTAAATCACTCCTAAGACAAAGAATGGATAATATTTATGTATGTGATATACTGATTTGATACCAATTATTTTTCTTTTGTAATAAGCCTATCACTCAATAATAATTTATTTGGGGAGATGTTGGTCAACACCCAGCAGTGCTCAGAGATCCCCCCTTGAGGTTCTTGGAGGTACCTGGTGATACCTGGGAGACCATATCTGGTGTTAGCGATCAAACTATGGTTAGCTGAATTTGAGGCAAGCACCTTAAACTCTGTACTATCTCTATGGCTCTCAATAGATTCTTATCCATCATATTTATCAGCCCTGTACCCATTGTCAGATATTTCCTAGTCTGAAAGATACTTCAGAGCCCCTAACCCAAGTTTGTTTCTTTCACCTTTTGCAGCCCTGTTCCTTGAAGAGACTGCCTCCAATCCCCTTTCTTTCTTTCTTTCTTTCTTTCTTTCTTTCTTTCTTTCTTTCTTTCTTTCTTTCTTTCTTGCTTTCTTGCTTTCTTGCTTTCTTGCTTTTGAGGGTGGGGGGCTTTTTTTGTCACACTCAGTGCTCAGGGGTTACTCTTGGCTCTGCACTGAGGAATTACTCCTGGCGGTGTACAGGGGAACATATGAGATGCCGGGGATAAAACCTGGGTTGGCTGCGTGTGAAGCAAATGCCCTGCCCACTGTACTATTGCTCTAGGCGCCTCCAATTCTTTCTATGATGAGATCATCTCAGATTAGTAATAGTCATAATAACGATAGCAGTTTCTGCATGCCTGGTACTATTATAAGCAATCCTATACCAAGTCTATAGCACAGACCTACTAAATTATCCTCATATATATTAAAATTATTTTAATACGCTTTTTGTTCTTAGCCTTGCCCCAGTGAACTGAGTAAAACAGAACACAGGCAGTGATTTCAATATGGCTAACACATAATGTGACAAGAAAGTGCAAATAGCATTTTCTTGCTGGCTAGGAACTGTGGACTGTAAGAAGTGAAGAGCCAACGAGAAGTCTCAGCCCCTAATAATCCAGCCTTCAAAGTAAATGAGGGCACGGCAGGGGGCTGTGTCCTGTCTTGACTGTAGCACCTGTGGGGTGAATAATCTGACAAATTCCTGTTCCTGCAGGACTGGGTGCAGCGTTCAGAGAGAAGCAGGCTCCACCTCTGATAATTTTCACACAGAAAAATCACCAAAAAACAACTTCCTTTCAAAAGCCTGTACTTCCTGTCACATTTCTCAGTGGAATGCTTCCTGCTGGTGAAAATGACCCTTGGACATGCGACTCACTTTTATCTGAAAACAGGAGCTCCCAATTAGCCAACCAGCTCTAAGATCTGTGACAGTTACCATCTCCCTCCCTGTCCACATCTACTGTAAAGGATGGCACTCAGGTTGGCAGGAGGTGGGCAGCCCTACTTCCCCCATTATTCCCTGCATCCAAATAAAGGTGCTTCAGTAACACCTAGCACTGAAGTGTATTTTGGCAAGTAGCTATGGCATAGATGTTACAGGATACTCTTCCCCATCCTCTTTGTTCCTCTAATGCATAGAAGAAACTCTCAGAATGTCTTTCTATATGCTGTTGATTGTCCCTATGCTTCCTCTGACCCCACTTGTGACCAAATCACAGTGACTTCCCTGTTTCTGATCTAGGAGATGGCTCTGATATTTCATATCTTGGAGCACAGTTGGTCACTCATTTCTTCTAATAACTCTTCTCTTCTAATTTGTGACATTACTCTTTCCAGTCCTCTTTATATCCCTTCAACCAGTCCCCCCTGGTCTCCTCAGTAGACTCATTGTCCTAGGATGATGACCATGTTTACAGGTTCCATTCTTATCTCTATCCCTTGCATCCCCCTGAGTCCTCTATGGGTGGTCATAGGCACTAGCACCATGAAATTACTATCGGCAAGCTGCTGTCTCCTCAACCTGGGTGAGATTCCACACACACAGCAGGGTAAACTGAGCTCGTGATGGATCTCATCAAAATTGCCTGCCATATTCGTGGCCGCCCACCTACCAGATGGTCAGACTTCTTCATCAAGATCATGAACGATCGGTTTGAGGCTCTTCATGTTCCTAGAGCGAACAGACGCCATTGGACTACACTAGCACGCGACAGGGACAAATGGAGACGTTACTGGCGCCCGCTCAAGCAAATCGCTGATTAACGGGAAGTCAAGTGATCAAGTGAATCAATACCATCTCCTCCATGGACACCCACACATTTTTTGGTGGGGGAGCAAGGAGCTCTCAAGCAGTGCTCATGAGGCCTATGGGGTCCTCTGGGTGATTCTTAATCAATCAGGAAGCAGTCAATGAGTATACAGAGGATGCAATTCTGCTCTTCCTGTGGGATTACCTGGACCATCCTAGAGTGCTTGTGGACTCCCAGAACTGCACCCTGAGTTGCGTGAAACTGAGGTTGGCCACATGTAAGACATATTGGCCACATGTAAGACATATACCTTTACCCTGAAGAATCTCTCCAGTGTCCAAACCATTTCAAATGGTTTTAGGTACCATCTTCCACTGAGTGATTGTTACGCTAGATTTTTTTCTCCAGCCTCCTAATCAGGTTATAGACTTTCATTGCATTATCACTGCATAGTATAATTCTGTTTGTCTTGCCACTTAAAAGGTAAACAAAGTATCAGCATACTCATAAGTATCTTATGGATACACATTTGTATTTTCATGCCTATGTGCCCTGTGAGTCTCAAGCCTAGAATTCTCAGTGCACTCGAATTGTCAGTGTATTTCTAAAAGCTGTCTTGTGTGCTGCAGTACTAACCGCATTATCACGCAACCCAATGAAGGGACCTACATGCAGGTGGAGTCAGTGGGCAGGCAAGCTGCCAGGAATAAGTCATGTGATAGGTAAGACTTTCATCTTACTGTAGTTTTGATTTGATTTACATTAGAAGATTAAATTTTGTAAGCCTGTACTTTGAAACCCTGTAATAAATTTTCCCATGTGCAAAAGTCAACTATAATGCAGAAATAGTCACAATTAAAGTGTCAACTTTTTTTAATGATCAGAAAAAAATGTTTATTGAAATGTCACCCAAAAAATGATGTATGCTGTTTTGAACCATTCAATTCTAGTGTACTTTCATGAGTGTTCTGTGCATCCTGACCTCGCACTAAAGTCAGTCTAGTCTTTGGTGCAAATAAATGATTTTTACTAATAACAGCACAATAAAAAAGCCTTCAAATAATGGTCATGCACTACTCTTTTTTTGCAATAAAACATTTGGCACAGCATCTCATGGTTATGTGGTAAAATGTGATATCAGCAGTTACATCCTATGTAGCCAGCTCCTTCCTTTCCACACAGTGTTTTTCCTAAAATATATCTAGAAGGCCTGGACTGAATTATAAATAATTATAGAAAAGTAATTGAAACTCAGTGTGATCTCAGAAAGGACTCCTTCACTGAGTCTAGTTAGAGGGTTAAAGTTTCTATAAGCAGATTTACTGACCACCAAACTTGCTATGTTCCTTCATCAAATTTCTGAAGGTATCTTCATGTTGCAGTCGAACTTTCCTTCTTTCAGAAGCCAGATTATGTTCCATATGATCTTTTTTAGTTTGAAGTGTGACTGGTTTTAAATGAATCTAGAGAAAGAAAAGCATCATTTATCTTTCATTCTCTGTTAAATTATGAAAGCACAATATGAATTTCACAAAAACAAATGATAAGCTACATTGTTTTCCAACTCAAAGCAAATAGTGCTTTTTGAATGTTTTCACACATTCTTTTGACTAAATTGTTTTTCTTAAAACATTTTTAAACCAAAAAATTCATTATAGATTTAATCATTTCTTCATACCAAAAGATATGAGCTTATTTTTGTTGTTGTTGTTTTGGTTTTGTGACCACATCAGTAATGCTTAGGGCTCACTCCTGACTCTGCATTCAGGAATTAGTCCTGTTGTGTTCCAGGGAACAGTATGGGATGCAGGGGGTTGAATCTGGGTTGACCATGTTCAAGGAAACTTCCCTACCCACTGTACCATTTCTCCAGTAAAAAAAAGGAATGAGCTATAATTTTTTCCAAATATTCATAGTCCCTAAATTTTCAAGAAAACTACAAAATATGAACTCCTTCGAATTCAACAATGAGGAAAGGGACTTGGAGTCCATTGAATTTTGATCCAGAAATGTTTTCTACCTTTAGAAAAATTAAGATATCAAAGGGAGGCAATAAAGATGTTTTGGGAAAAGCTATCAGTTACCAAGAGATAGTTCCATTTGGATATTTAATCACATGGTGAAACAGTGTCAAATAAGCAAACAAAAAGAATCAATAAAGTTTTGACCAATCTCCAGAAACCTGGAAATGTGAAGAACTTAGGACCTCAAGCTCTGCCTTAGATGCCTACCTACTGACCATGTGTGTAAAGAAGAGTCAGTATGGAACTGGGCCAGAGAAGCATCCTGCTTGCTTTCAGGGTAGCCAAAGGCTGGTACTGACCCTTGGCCAAGATAAGATCGAAATAGCTAATGATCTGTAATATGCTGCTTTAAGTCTAAAGTTCCCTAGTCTGCCTTATCTAATCTGTTTAGGAAAGCACGGAGAGATAATTTATACTGGTTCAATTGTTTTTGCAGCTTATTTTAGTGGCACAACCACTGCAGTACCCACTATCCGATAAGCACATGCTTGGCACTCTGATGCACAGATGAATTCCATTTCTGGTGATTGAAAATAGCTGAGGCTGGAAGTCTTGAACATCTCTAAGTTTTCCTGTACTTTTTCCAGTTGTACCATCTCTTTTTGCTGCAAGGTCTGGCAATAGTATTCTCTAGTTTGTCTTATGAATCCTTCAGTGATTTGGCCAGTCAGTGGTTGAACTCAATGTAGTTAATCATTGCCCATTTTGAATGGAGCAAACTTGTTTTGGACAAAGACCCAAGTAGGTTTCTCAGTTCAAATCACACCTTGGAGTTTTTTCATGACTTTATGTTGTGTTAAGGAACAAGAATGACACAAACTAGAAAGTGAGTGTGTCTGGAAATGGTGGCTTACTATGAGGGGGTTCTATGCCCACCGATCCTGGCAGCATCATAGGGCACCTGACTTCTCAGAAATGCTCTGGGAATACAATCCTAAAGATGGACTGAACCATGACTAATATAATTTGGAGCTTGTGGAATAGAATAAAATAGTATCAAGGGTAAAAAGTCTGAAGCTGAAGGGAGAAAATGGCAACCCATAGATTTCCTCCACACAAAGGAACCAGTGAGGAAATGAACTTCTTTTGCCACCTCTACTTATTATGAAAACTCTGCACCTGTCTACATATTCTCTCATATCTGACTGTGGAGATTTGGGGAGATTCCAAGAAAACATGTTTGGCAAGACCTATATCAATGTCTTCAGTTTTAGTGAACATCAGGTTTCTGTGATGCGCTGTCAAAGTACAGATTCCAAGATCCTGTATTGATGATTCTAATTCAGTGGGTCTGAATTACAACCCAGAAGAGGTTTTTTGTTGTTGCTTGTAGGATAACATTGTTCGTCCTTTCAAATTGGTATTGATAACATTCCAAGGGAGAATACTATTGGTTTTGACTGGATATTTGTATAAACTTTTTAAAGAGATGAGTGATAGCACTAACCCTTATCTGTAAGTTTTGAATTTATATTGTTTCTTCCCATGTACAAAACTATTTTTTCCTACAAATAGTTGTTTTTTTTTGTTTTGTGTTTGGGGATGTAAAGGAAAGCAGAATGTTTTATTTATTTATTTTTTGCTTCAGCTACTACTTTGAGACAAATTAAAAGTCCTGAACTCTGAAAAAACAAACAAACAACCCAAAAAACCACATTGTCCTTTCTCCCTTGCCACAGGGATCTTAGGTTAATTGTGTTATACCCATAATAGTGCTCTGGAGGCACTCCCAATTCCACTGTGTTTATCTTTAACTTCTCCTCTGTGCTCATCTTCAAGTTCTCCTCTGTGCTCTGCTTCCCCTATCTGTTAATCATTCATTTCCCCTAATATGAACCTGTGACTTGTATAGTCAAATTCTTCAGAGATTTGTATTTGTAAGTGAAATATTGATTTTCTCTTTCCCTTATATCCTTTGCATAGTTTACTTTAGAGCAATGTCCTTTCTGCATAGACACAGGGAGACAGTTAATGCTATGCTTTTGTAACTTGGTAGTTAATTGACTTCGAATAATATTTACTCCTGGGCATCTGTCATATTTACTCGACTTAAGACTTGGTTGTCCTTAGTTCCTAGCACCCAAAAGCAGGGTTCCAATGAAGAAACTGGATGGACCCAAGACAAGCTGTAAGTTACCCTGGCAATTCAAATGGGACAGGCCAAGTGCCATAAAATTTATAATAAGTTAAGAGTATAGTCGTGGACAAACCTTGTAATGACCCAAAGACAAAGACCCTGCTAGGATTGAAAAGGGCTAATTTGACCTATGAACTGTAGTCTGGGATTTATAGCAAGATGTTCTCAGGAGAACCACCCTTTAAGCTTAATATATCGCCTACTGTGTTCATACAAAATGACTCGAAATATTTTTAAGAAGTAAATTTTAGGTGACTGTTTAAATGGTTATGAACTAAGGTAAGGAGAAATAAGGACTTAGATGAAATTCTGCCTTTGAGCGAGCAGATCTCCTAGCAGGAGCAGATCTTTGTCTTAGAAGACCTTCCCCAGAAGAAAGGGCTTTACATATGTTGATTGTTCTATCTGACCTGGGTGGTTGGACTCTTGACTAAGGCTTGAGACTGGGTGGAGAGAAGCCTGTGAAAAGTAAGAGAAGGAATATGGGGATTGGGTTAGAGTGGAAGGAGGCAGAGAGACTAGATTGGAATAAACTACAACTGATCCCCAACCAGCTTGGTGTCCCTGTTCCCTCCTTCATGTGTCTGTTTGCAGCAGCTACAGGCCGGGGTGGAAAAGAGGCTCATGGCTACCCAATGCACGTGGCAAGAGAGCACACTTATTGAATAGACAGTTGTTATTTTTTTTCTGAGTCTTACCCAGTGATTCCCAGAGCTTACTCCTGGGCTCTGCACTCAGGTATCATTTCTGGTGGTTGTGCCAAGAATCAAATCAAGGTCGGCTGCCTACAAGGTCCTTGGTATGAGTTTAACAATAAAATAGCTGATAAAACTTCATTTTGAAACACAGTGTCCTAGGGCAATGGGAATTTGCTTTGCAGCCTGTTCATCACATGGTGAAAATATTACCAAATAAGCAAATGGCAAGAATCACTATGCCAAAATAAGGGTTTTTAAAAGGCAGAGAAAGGAGAAGTATTCCATTCTACGTAACTACAGGGATACTGGCCATCAGGCACTTTACTGAGCGTGACTCTGCTGTCTCATGTCTGTTTGACTTAGTTAAAGCATGCTTTGTCTTGCTTCTAAGGTTGGAGGCAATTTGAGGAAGGGCCATTTTGCAGAATATCAATACTTCCTTCCACTTTAGAAGGAAGCTAAGAGTGAGAGGGGCCAGAATAGATAATACTGTGTGGGTAGGGTGCTTGTATTGCACACAGCCAACCTGAATTCAGTTCCCAGCATCCCATATGGTCCCCTGAACCCAGCAAGAATGATTCCCAAGTACAGAGCTAGGAGGAACCACTGAGCACCACAGTGGATGGCGCCCAAACAATGAAACACAAAGCAGAGAGAAGCTGTTGTGCCCATCTCTGGAGCTGTCCCTGTGTGACCAATTTTAAAAAGACACTTAGACCATTAAAAATGCCTAGACTGCAGCCAGAGAGATAGCACAGCAGGTAGGGCACTTGTCTTGCATGCAGTCAAACAAGATTCAATCCCCAGAGCCTGCCAGGAGTGATCCTTGAATGGAGAATCAGGAGTAAGCCCTGAGCACTGCAGGGCATGGCCTAACTTCACACCTTCTCTCCCCTCTTACTTAAGTGCTTGAACTAAATAGGGCTTCTGCTCCCTCCATATTCTCTTGAAGCAAACACCAAGAGAAGATAGCGGGGCATCCCAGATGACTCTGAATGAGCTGATTTGTGTCTGTGGTCAGACAAGCCCACTCAAGGCACAAGCAACCAAAGCATTTCTCTGAAGGTGTTTTTTTTTAAACCCCTCAGTCCCCACCCCGAGTATATTTATAAACTTTAGTAAATCAGCAACTTTTATCATTTTTCCTTTAGGTATAGGAAAACTATTGAACTATTGCAACTGTTTGCCAAATTTTGCTTTAAAAAACTATTTTGAGGGGCTAGAACGACAGCACAGTGGGTAGGGCATTTGTCCTGCATATGGCCAACCTGCATTCGATTCCCAGCATCCCATATGTTCCCTCAGCACTGACAGGAGAATTCCTGAGTATGGAGCCAGGAGTAACCCCTGTGCTTCGCCAGGTGTGACCCAAAAAACAACAAAAAAAAAAAAGAGAGAGAGAAAAAAACCTATTTTCACACAATTTTGAGTTACATAATCACACGTAAAAAACTAAACTGGTGAGAAACCAATGTGACATTAACCAATGTGACACAGTGTTTATTTAGTTTTGTTCTTTCCCTCTTCCACAAACTGGCTCTATCTCCTATTCTTTAAAGTTCTTGATACTGTGATACCCCCACAGAAGGATTATTTTTGCTGTAAATTTTGGGGAATAACAAATATTGGGAAATTCAGTCTCATTATAATGACTGGAAATGTCTGGTTTCCCTACATGTCCCTTGGTCCCACTCAAGATGGAAATGTTAACACAGAAAATTTACCTTTTCTTTTCCGGCTGGCTTGACTACAAATGTAGAGAAGGCCACACTAACAAGTTTTTCAGTTCTGGAGAACGTGTCCTGAACTGTGACCTTGATGCTAATCTGAAATGAAAAGGAAAAGCAATAAGTATACAGTCATCCAGATTACAGATGAGGTCACAGCATTCAGGGGTCAGTGGTCAGTCATGCATTTCATCATCATTTTTGTTTTTTTGAATGAAATCAGCAGTTTCATTTCCTTTGATTGACACAGTTCATTTCAATGAGATTATACAACGCTGGAGAGAAAACTTCGGATGGTAGAAAGATATATATCTGCCATGGAAATGCTCTGATAAACATGGAAATTTGACTAAACATGAAGGTAAACACTAAAAGTGGAAACTGATTATCCAGAGAAAATTTGTCCATCACCCCCACATCCAGATTCATCATTAGTTTGTGTAACTTCACTAGAGTAATAGTCTGCAAGAAACACAGTCTCTGCAGTAACTTTGTGCCCTGAAACCAACAGAACGATGACTGAGCAACCTAGAATTTGCAGTAGGGGAATCCAGTAACTTCTTTCTGTTATTTTAACCTCAATAGGGATGTCAAAAGTCTCTATGAATTTTATTTTTCACACATGTAGTAAAGAAAAGAAGAGCAAACAGGAGCAGAAGAGATATCTTGTAAACATCTTAGGCTTTCAATAAACACACAGCTACTATGCTTTTCAAAATCTGGTGAATTACAGAGTTCAGTTTCCATAGGGTAGAAGGTGGGTAAAGAGAGGGAAAACAAGGAGGGTTCTCTTTTCAGAGAATCCCTTATAAGACAGTGCTTGAGCGCACTTCTGTGTATGTTTACTTTCTGTGACACTATCTATGTACACATTGCGTCTTGTGTTCCATTCAGCTGGTTGACATTGGCTCCTATTATTTACCTGTGAGCCTTACTAGGGATTTAAAGACCTTCTGAAATTCAGAATCTCTTTGACACCACATTTCCCCTCTAATCTCCGTAAGAATGGAGAGATGATTACCGATGGGCACAGATGAAAGAGACTCTCTTACCTCCATGCTGGTGCTGAATGCTCTAGTAACTTTTGCTTTGATGGTTATGACTTGTCCAACTCTAGTTCAAAAAAAAAAGGATCTCAGTAATTCTAACACATTTCATTTCAGACATAAAGATTGACTTAAACGCCTGCGCCACAGAGCAGCTGCACTTTGTCAGGCTGATCATTTTCATGCACGGAATTCTCAGGTTAATGAAAGCAGAAAAAGCCAGTGCCAAAGCCCAATGTTGATTACTGTAAACCACACATATGTAAACTTCCCGTTTCTGTTTTTTAGGAAAAGGATCGTGAGGATGGTGCGCAGATGACTCCCACAGATCATTTGCTACATGGCTGTTGGTTCCTTAAGGGAAGTTAGAACAAGCAAGAAGGAAACCTATACAGATACTTATTTTCAAATGCTAGTTTATAAATAAGGGAATAGATGTACACACAAACAAGCAAGAACTATTTCTACTGAGTCTAACCAATATTTGCCAAATTACAACCAGAGTGGGCGTTGAACTAAGAGCTCAGGACACAATGATGAGGGCCAAGCTGCTAAGCTCAGAGTCCGGTCAGTCTTCATTTGGGATACTGGTGTGTCCCCAGATCAAAATGCAGTTCCATGGCCCTTTTTGCAAAGAAAATGGTCAGAGTAACAGTGGGTAGGGTGCTTGCTTTGAATGTGGCCAATCTCCCTGAGCGCAGAGCCAGAAATAAGCACTGTGTACTTCCAAGTGTGGTCCCAAATACACAGGGAAGGTAAAGGGGAAGGGAGAGAATGGGTGGGGAAGGGAGAGGCGGGAGGGGAATGGAGGGCAGGGGAAGGTAGAGGAAGGGAGGGGAGGGGAGAGGAAAGAATTTACGTATTACAAAGATTCCAGAACTAAATCAGGGGCTGGGGAGATGACACGGGTGAAGGCATGCCTTGGATGTGATGGATCTCAGTTCATTCTCCAGCACCGCACGATTGACCTGACCATTACTGCTTCCTTTCCCCCCAAAGTGACCAAATAGGCTGGAAGAGTCACAAAGAGGTAAGGCTTGAGATGAGATTTTCAAAGGTTAGGATCTTTTTCATTGCAGAAGCAATGAAAGATTTCTTCTCCCATTCCCTCTAAACCCAAATCTATCTGTTCGCACCAGGTGTTACTCCTCTTGATCTCCAAAATCACTTCCCAACAGCGAACCCAGGCTGACTTTTAGAGCGATATTTGGGGATGGAATCTGGGGCATAATGTACTAAAACTCTATCACTGAGTTATATATTCCAGTCCTTAAACGCAACTTCTTTCTTCATGAGACCTCTGTCCTGTCTTTCCCCATAGCAACCAAGCTACAAATGAGAGAAAAATGTCCCTTGGTAGTAGTATTTCAGAAATAAATGAATAATGATAGAATTAACATGTTAATACTTTTACTGAGTCAAAGCAATCTTGATTTTAGTTAATGATTATTAAATATTTTGTGCTCTTGGTGAAACTATTTTTTGCCAAAATACCAAATATTCATTAAACCAGTTTTACTTATTTATTTTTAATTTTTAAATAATTTTTAATTGATTTTTTAAATTGAGTCATTGTGAGTTAGACCCATACAAAGCTGTTCATGACTAGGTTTCAGTCTTGCCATGTTTCAACACCCATCCCTCCACCAGTGTACATTTCCCAGCACCCAGTTTCCCTTCATCACCCCCTCCCCATCAGCCTGCCTCTATGGCAGGCACTTTTCTTCTCTCTCTCTCTCTCTCTCTCTCTCTCTCTCTCTCTTTCTCTCTCTCTCTCTCTCTCTCTCTTCTTTTGAGCATTGTGATTTGCAATACAGATACTGAAAGGTTATCATGTAAATCCCTTTACCTACCTTACTAAGTTCTTATCATTTCCAACTATTATTATTACACTGTAGACCAATTTTTAAATGATCATATTACAAGAAATACAAAGAATTGGAGAATGCAATATTCAGAGATACAGTAAATAGTTACAAAATATGGCAAACCTCTTTAGGAGAAATGAAAATCTCTTTAAAAAAATAGATGGCAGAACAAAACAAAGAAGGGGAATGGATAAGTTAAAAGACCATAATGAAACTCGACTGAATGATCCAATTGTTTAAAATTTAAAAAAAAAAAGGTCATTGGGATGATCGTTTCTGGTTGATAGTATTGTAATTTTGAAGTTAGGTGGTTTTAATTTTTTAAAATAACACTTATCTTTTAGAACTATATAGCAAAATATTTAAGATGATGCTTGGATTTGTTTTTAAAATAATTCAGGAAGGATGGTTACTGGGAAGATGAGTGCCTATGAGTTGGTTACTGAGGTAGATAATAGTGTGTTGGGGAATGCTTGGTACTTTTCTCTCTGCTTTAAAAATTATTTTATTTTATTGGGGGATACTAGGGTTGGACCACACCTTGGGGTACACAAGTTATTCCTGGCCCTGTGCTCAGAAAGTGATACTTGGCAGCATTTGAGAGAGCATAAGTGGTGCTGGGGATTCAAACCAGGCTCACAGATGCGGCTATCGCAAGGTGAGTGCCTTGCCTCCTAGACTGTTTCTCCAATCCATTTTCTACTCTTGTGTATGTTTGAAATGTTTACACATCCTAAAATTTTCTGCAGTAAGTGACATTAAAGGTGCAAATGTTCTCTCATACAGCAAATGATTTTTGTATTTTATCATCTGTTCAGATGAATTAGTGTTTGCTTAACAACCTAATGATGAAGTTCACTATTGTAAACATACTTTTTCCTTGTTATTTTTGGGTCACACCCAGCAATGCTCAGGGGTCACTCCTGGTTCTGAACCCAGGAATTACTCCTGGAAATGTTCAGGGTACCCTATGGGATGCCTGGATTTGAGCCCGAGTCAACCATGTGCAAGGCAATCTCCTTACCCACTGTAATATCACTCCAGTCCCTATTAAAAAATGTTAATGTACATAAAAATACTAAAAGTAGGTTTTGCACTTTTCTAACTGCTCTATATTCACGTATGAAATATATTGGCATAATTGATATTTATTCCCAGCCCTACACCAGGTCTCCTTTTATTAGCATTTTATCAAAATCTTCAAATAAATAAGTCTAGGTGCTACAGCATAGTTGCAAATAACCAATACACCCAGAAGAAAGTTATGACAGAGTGATTACACTTACCTAGCTGTTTCCTCAAACTGTATGTCATCAACTGAGGCTGTAACACAGGAAACCCCGGCATGCTTCTCAGCTGGTAAAATCGGGGGAAATGTGCCGCATTAGTAGTTACATTGGAGTATTTTGGCATATGGAAATAGAAATAAAACTTCAGTGGATTTCTTTTCTAGTAACATCCTCTTGTAGACTTTAGGTAAACTAAACCCTTATTTTTGTAAGTGCTCTATTAGTAACACTTCTTTTGTGCTGTTATATTTCTAATGCATGGACATTTCTATCCTTTCTTCTAAGTCTTATCTTTGACTCTCTTTGACTAAAATTTACTGCCACCATCAGCATATCTAGATGTTTAAATAGCAATTTTATTAAGTTGGTGCCACGTTTAAATATTTTGTCACTGTCTCTCTACCATTTTTTTGTTTAAGAAACAAATGCCTTATACAGTAACTAAATATATTTAAATCATTTGCCGAGTGAGTATTAACACTGAACTGTAGGGGAAGTCCTGAGATTACATTCTCTATCAGAGATGAGTTTCTCTGACTGTCAGAGAAATAAAGATGGGCATACATGGGCATTTGTCAATATTTATCATTGCCAAATTTATTATCAATTATATTGGAGGGTGTATGGAAGAGAATGAAGAGATTAAGGAGGAGATCCAGTTGTTTTTATGTTCTATATCTGTATTTATTGAAAAGTATTTTTTAATTATTTACTTTTTAATATAAAATTAAAAGTATATTCTCTTTGGGAAACATTTTTACATAGTCTTTTGCTCTGATTTTGAAACACAATCAATTAAAACACAAAAAGTGGCTTTAGTCTTTTTTTAAGTACTTTTAAACTCATTTTAATTTTGATAAATTATGGTGTAAAACTAACAAAGAAATGTCATTTTACCATATATATTAGGACCTATGTGTATATATATAACTATACTAGATTGTATAAGGAATCAAGAAGAAACATAATTATAAGTCCTTGTTGTTCTGTCATCTTCTTAAATTTCTATGTCCACCACCACATTAGGAAACACTTTCAACATAATTTCTTTAAATATCTGAATTTTGCCAATACTTTCTCTCATCTGTCATTTATTAAAAATGTATTATCAGCCAGAAACATCAATTGAACAATTAGTTCCATTTTAAAATGAGGAAACTTAGTATTAGAAAGATTCATTGTTCAAGATGCTGATTTTTGACTATAAAGTAACAGGACTTTTAGAAAAGACCAACCAAGAAATGCTTTCTGGAGAAGTACTTGACTAACTCTAGGCTTTAGGGACACCTTAGTCATGACTTACAACACAGACTTTCAAGGGTTATTATCATCTAAATATTTGGAGAACCACATCTAGGGTCATAATTTTTATGTTTGACTGTGTATAATTTTTCTTTTTACAAGTGTGCCAGTTACAAAGTAAATTCAACTGGACTTGATTTTTTTCTGTTTTTCGGGGGGAAGGAGAAGGGGAGGAGGGTCAGAACTATACCCTACAGTACTATTCCTGACTGCTCAAAAATGCCCCGTGATGGTGTTCAGGAGGCCTGGTGTAGGATCAGGAATGTAAACCAGGTTCATGGCTGCTTCAACCATATACAGACCAAGTGCCTTACTCCTTGTACTAGTGCTCTGGGTCCTTGTTCTAGTTCTTGAGCTTAGTTGTCTTTCCTACAATATACCAACAAAAGTAGAGAAAACCTAAAGATATTTCTGACTTCCTAGGTAAACAGAGAAACTGGGTAAGAGCAATAGTGTAAGTGGGTGTGATCAGGGATGAGATGATAAAAACAGTGAATCTTCCATTCATTCATTTCTTCAATGTATGCTGATCAAACACCTATGTCATGCCAAAGCAATAAACAAGAGTCATAGTGTCTCTTTCTTGAAGTCTAGTGGGGTGCCAGGGATTAATAACATGAAAAGACAAAATGAGTCAACTGTCTTTAGATGAACATTGATTTTAAGATAATCTTTAACTAAGAAACCAAAACTAGGTGGGATGTCAGAGAAGGCACCCATGGGAGGGGATGCTGGAGAGGTCTGAAGAATGACGAGCTTAATAGATGGTATTGGAGCTGAAATGATAGCACAGTGGGTAGGGCATTTGCCTTGCACGCAACTGACCCGGATTTGATTCCCAGCATCCCATATGGTCCCCTGAGCATTGCCAAGAGTAATTCCTGAGTGCAGAGCCAAAAGTAACCCCTGTGCATATCCAGGTGTGACACAAAAAGCAAAAAGCAAGAAAGCAAACAAACAAACAAACAAACAAACAAAAAACCCCAATAATAATAAAAGAAAATAAAATCCTTAAAAAAATAGTGTGTGTGGCTGGGGGGAGAGGGAGGAAAGTATATGCTCAACAAAAGTAACTACTTAAGTCCTCGTGAAGGAACTTAATGCTCAAATGCAGAGAAAAAGAAAAGTGGAGGATAGAAATCTCAAGAGTAAGCCATACACAGGGCCTTGAAGTTCTTGGTTAAGTTTTTATAATAAAGATATTAAAGAATATTCTTCTAATATCATTACTGATGAGGTCACTGATAATGCTAATCATTGTTTCCTGTGTTCTATACAGTACTGTGTTTCTTTCCTCTGGCTGTCTTAAAGATTTTCTCTCCAGTTAGTTTCTGATGTGCCTCAATGTTTCCTTTATAAATGTCCTGCTTGTTGTTCTGTGATCTCCTTAAATTTCTATGTCCACCACCACATTAGGAAACACTTTCAACATAATTTCTTTAAATATTTGACTTTTGCCAATACTTTCTCTCATCTTCTTTGCAACTCTAGCTTTTTTCTCCTCACAAATTTTTTCTCTTTTTTTTATTGGGTAACTTTTTCCTTCCTTTTCTTTCATTGAGATCATTTTTATCAATGAGGTAATATACATGACTGCATATTGGGGGAGACAATTTCACATCTCTGCTAATCCATGCTACTTCATCACACCTACAAGTATTTCATTATCCCCTCACCACAGTCCATTGGGCCACCCCACCTTCCTACCCTCCCCTGTTCCACACTGGTAACAGCAGTTCTTCTGTCAGAGCCTAAAGTTCTTTTAGATTTATCTACCCCTGCACTTTTCTTTTAAAATTTTTATGGGAGGAGGGAGGGTTAGACCATACCCAGCGATTCTCAAGGGTTATTCCTTGCTCTGTGCTCAGGAGTGACCCCTGGAGTTGCATAGGACCATATAACAGCACTGGGGATTGAACTGGGGTCAGCTACTCATAGGCAGATGCCTTAAACCCTGCTGTCCCTTCTGTTTCAGTTTTTGGGTAATAGTACTCAGGGACTACATCTCGCTTCGTGTCACTCAGGAAACTATGTGGTGCTAGAAACCTAGCATAAGTTTAGTACATGCAAAAGCTCTACTCCTTTGAGCTCTCTGTTCCCACTTTGCTTTTTCATATACCATAGATGAGTGAGATTACCTAGAATTTGTGTTTCTCCTTATGACTTATTTCATTTAGCATGATCCACTTTGGTTCCATCCATAGCAATAAGCAAAACATCATTTTTTCTATTAGCTGAGTAAAATTCCACAGTCTATTCATACCAAGCAGCTGACTTGGCCAACATGAGTTCGATTCCTCCACCTCTCTCGGAGAGCCCAGAAAGCTACTGAGAGTATGTCGCCCTCACGGCAAAGCCTGGCAAGCTACCCGTGACATATTCAATATGCTAAACACAGTAACAACAAGTCTCACAATGGAGACATTACTGGGCCCGCTCCAGCAAAAATCCGTACCACATTTTCTTTCTTTATTTCTGGGAAGGGGAGCTGAGCAGGTGTTTGCGTTATACCAAGCAGTGCTTGGGGATTATTATTATCTCTGTGCTAAGGTATCACTCCTGGAGGTTCTCGTGGGACCATATGTAGTGCCCAGAATCAAATCTGGATCGGCTGCATGCAAGACAAATGTCTTACCTGCTATACTATTGCTTTGGCCTTATGTTTTTTTATCCATTCATCTGTCATTGGACACCTGGGTTGTCTCTACATCTTGATTATTGTAAAGACAGCTGAAAAGAACCTGAGTTTGCATCGATTTTTTTCAAATTAGTGTGCTGTGTTCTTCACATACACAACACACACAACACACGCTACTGGCACCCTCTCAAGCAAATTGATGAACAACGGGAGGACAGTGCAGTGCTACAGTGCTACAGTGTGTTGTGTTCTTTAGATAGATACTTGAAACTAGAAATCCCTGGTCAGAGTAGATAGTACAGAGGTAGGGCATTTGCCTTCTACTTGACCAATCCAGGTTTGATCCCTGGTTCCCCATGTGGTCTCCAAAATCTGCCAGGAATTATCCCTGATCACAGAGCTAAGAGTGACCCCTGAGTGCAGAGAAAGGAGTAAGTCCTGAACACTGCTTGGTCTATCCTCTTAAAATAAAAAAGAGTGGATTTCATAGACCAAGTGGTACATCTGTTTTTAATACGTTGAGAAATTTTCGTATTGTTTTCCTCAGATGATGGACCAATTTATAATTCCACAAATTATATTCCTTTTTCTATACACAAATCTATTAGCATGTGCTATGTTTGGTATTTTTATGGTCTTTTTATTAAGCAATTATTACAGGTATGAGGTGATAGATAACTGATACTTTGATTTGCATTTCCCTAATAATCAGCAATGACGAACACTATTTTCTGTGCCTACTGACCATTAGTATGATTTCTTTTTTGAAGTATGTATTCAGCTGTTTTTCTCAAATTTTTGGGAGGGATTGTTTGCTTTCTTGTTGAATTTTGTGAGTTCCTTATATATTTTGGATATTATCTCATCACCAAATATAAGGTCAAAGGTTAGATATTTTACCTCTCATTGTAAGAATGTCTTTGCTCTTTTTGGGTAGGAGACCTGACAGTGCTCAGAGCTTAGTTACTCCTGGCTCTGTGCTCAGGGATCACTCCTGGCAATGCTGAGGGGACCATATGCAGTGCCAGGTTTCAAAAAAGGGCAGCCATGTGCAAGGCAAGTGCCAAAACCTATTAATCCCTGTGTTATCTCTCTAGCCTCAAGATGTCTTTAAATTTTTTAATTATAATTTCTTTGCTGTGCAAAAGCACTTTGATGTAATCCCATTTGTTTATTTTTGCAGCTTGTCCAATATACTTAAATTAATTTTCTCTTTTGTTTATTAGATTGAACATCACTGTGCTTACTAATGATTTTCAGTTATGCTTATGTAGGGAACTTTTTATTTTTAATATTAAAATTTTCAGTTCTGGAATTTCCAGTTGGTTCTTTTCATTTTATATTTCTGTTATGAAATATATTTGTCATGCTTTTATTCTTTGTTGTCATTCTATTACATCATCAAGCAGAGTTATAATGACCACTTTTAGAACCCCTGAATCTTAATTTGAGAATTTAAATCATTTATGGATAGGTCTTTATTGTTAAGAATGGATTATATCTGTACTTTATTTTTAAGCTTTAAAGCCACATCTGAAGGTACTCAGATACTTGGTTGTGCTTGAGGGAGCATGTAGTGTCAGGAATCAAACCTGGGCCTCCATTATGCAAAGCATGTGCTCAGCCTATGGAGCAATCCCCATCCACGTTGCCCCGTTACTTTGTATTTCAAGTAATTTTGGATTGTATCCTAGTTATCATGAGTGATGAACTGCATCCTCGTCACTATAAGTTGTAGAAACTATGAATTCTCATGTGTTACTTTGAAAAGTATTATTTTGATTTTTTTCCCTTTTTTCACTAAGCAGTTAACTAAAGTTAAAGGATAAAATTCTGTCTCCCTAAAGGTGAGAACAGCCTGTTCAGTTCTTTTGACTGTTTGGAATCTTTCCTCTGCAATGGTGATTCAAGTATCACCAGAGACTTGAGCAAAGATTCTAGATAAGTCTTTAGGCTCTGTTTTTCTGGCTTTCTCTTTTCTTGAATTTTCCTTCTTATATTCCAGTAGCTTGTGCTTCACACTAATTTCTTTGGTTTTTTTCCCAATCAGCAGGTTTATGAGATTTCTAACAGATATTTAGCTGAAAGTAGACTTGAGTCTTTATACAGACTTCAAATAAATCTAAAAATCAGTAACATTAGTCACCACTATTCTCTTATTCTAAATGTAGCCTGCCAAGTGTTCTAAACCTGCTTTTGTTCACTTATCACTTGCTTTAAGGAGCTTTTATTTAAATTCTTTTCAGAGTTTAAAGTTGGTATCTATGAGATTTCCCTTTACCAACATCCCCCTCACCCTACAAGGGAATAATCAGCTTGCTGGACAGGAATCCTTAGAAGGTCAATTCTGATTAAAACCTTCAAAATTTAGCAACTATGGGAGAAGAAAAGGGGAGGGCAGGATGAAGATCAGACTAGAAAGGACCTAAGGACAGTTGTGGAGGGTCATGGACCCTTCAGAGGGGTGTGAGGTATAGTGATACATTCATTCTATAAACTTAAACACTATTCTAACCGTATTACTGAAAGTATAATTTAAGAAAATAACTTTAGAAGGAAAGTATCCAGGAGATCAAAATGAAATAAGATCAGTTTGGAAATTGTTCTAAAGTTCACATGGAACACTGCCCAAAGTAAAAGCAGGGGGTGGGGTGGTAGTCAAGCAGTTGTATTTGAAAGATGCCTTTCAGGACTTGGCTCAGAGATTGATGATGTGACGGGGGGGGGGGGATGCTAGCAGAGAGAAGTCTTCTGGATGAAATGCCCATATATTCTTTAACTTGCACAAGTGGGTGGGCTGCTTGCCATTCCTGAGTGTGAGACCTGGAAAAGCTTCACAAATGAGAAAGGAAAAAGTGAGTCTGGGGTATTTCAGAATAAGGAATGGCTGTGGAGTGCAAGGATGTCTCGGCAATAGCGTCAAGCCCCTAGGCTTAAGAAACTGGAAGAATAATGGGGCCACTGGCAGAAATGATGCAGAATGCCAAAGTGATAGTGAATGTGCTTAATCTTTCTTTAAATATCCAGACGACATTTTTGAAATCTAGCAGTGCCTTGCGGCCATGACTGAGATCATCATTCATCATAGTAACATGGCTGTTATTGAGCTGGTCAATAAGAGCTCTGGATGGAAAAATGCTGGAATAACCAGTTTTTGTATTAGACCTATAAAGCACACTGACGGAGCATCTCTTTGCCAAAGACTCACACCTAGGCTAAATAATGCCTTTGCTTATGCCATGACTCGTCTTACCATGGAGTCTGACACAGGCATTAACCACATTTCCAAAAATTATTTATTGTAAAGAGTTCTTTAATAGCACATTCTTGGTACTTAACAATTAAGGTTCAGAGGAATTGACACCAATAGAATCATTCTATGGTTTCCTGTAAAATATAGACATTTTAATGAAAATTGTAGGACAATGTCTCTCCAGTACAGGACAGCATACTAAGAGAGGTAACTCTGAGAGTCACTTCAATATTCCCATAATATATTCAGTTGCCTTGGCAATAGACATTATTATTAGCAGCTTTGATGATTTCTATACTTGTTTCTTCTACATGCAAATTAATTTTATATTCATGTTTTCATTATTATGTTATAATAACCGACCTCAAATCCTAATAAAAACTGTTAAGACAGAAATCAAACAGGCCTATCAACAAACAGAAAACAAACAGCCAGATTGGCATCAGATATATGACGGAATTTTGCAGGTGGTTTGCACACAGGGGATTAGAAATTCAACACTCACTGAGCAGTGTTTTATAATCACCTGGGTTTTGCACTTGTCCTTTGTAAAATAAGAGTTCTTGGATACATGATCCTTATTATTTGGTGTGTGGGGGGCAGTTCATACCAGGCAATGCTTGGATGATTCTGTGTGCCAGGGATCAAACCCAGGCCCCTGGCATGCAAAACCCATGCACTCTTCCTCTGACTTATCTCTGGAACCTGATATTTAAAACTACCTCCAGCTCTAATATTTATCCAAACATATTTCACCTTAAAATATATAATTGCTAAGGTTGGGGAGATAGCTCAAAGGACTGGAGTATGTGCCTGCATGCTGGAGGTTGGTTTTCTCTCCTTGGCTCTGTTTGGAGTCCTGTACATGGCCAAGTGTGACCCCCCCCCCACAAAGACAAATGAAACCAAAACAAAACAAAAATAAACTAAAAAAATTCAAATGAAATATATATTTGGGAGCTGGAGAGAAAGGTGCTGGCATGTACACACAATTGCTGTGTCTAGTATGTGCCTTATATAATGCCTGCCCTTTTAGAAAGCAGATTCCAAATTCCAGATCCATCAATCCAAGCATTCCTCCATCTACTGACCCAAACAATCAGGAGGTTTATTAAGTACAGGAGAACTCTCTTTAGTCTATGCAGTAATTGACCAGCAAAAAATGAAAAAGAAGGAAGTAAAAAGAACACACAAAAGTAATTGCACGTTATGTTAGGTAGTAGGAGGGAAGAAGGAAAGAGTACTGTGTAAAAGGTGATGAGAGAACGCAAGTGTCAACAGGTGGCCCAGAAAGCCGTGTGTGGAAGCAAAGAGCAAGCGGAGGGGTAATGCGTGAAGAATATAAATGTAGAAAAGAGAAACTGGTGCAAAGGTTTTGAGCAAAGACCTCATAAGGGTATAGTGGGCAGCAAACTGGAAGCAGAAGCCAATCAAGAAAGAGAATAATCTCTTAAAGAGACACTACAGAGATTTGCAGAAAACTACATTAATACCATGTCTTGAAATACACTTTAGTTTATCTTAAAAATACCTTTTCTAATAAAAGTACGTTAACCCAAAGTATGCATCAACCAAATTAGTTCATTAAAGAAGAGCTGACTTCGTAAAATTTTGAATGTGGACAAAGCCCATCAACAAGCAGACATGACCCCCACCAACAAAATCTCTCCGGGAGTCCCATTTATGAATGTGGAGGAAGAGTTTTTAGATTAGGAGAACCGTTGGCCTAGGTTCTTTCCAGCGTTGGCTGGTGGCCCTCGGTCTGTCACCCCATTCCTGCCTGCCCTAAATAGCCTCCTGGCTCTCTCCTGCATTCCCAGGGGCTTTGGTACTCCACCCCCATTTGCTGTCTTTCTAATGTAATCATTTGGTACTCTTAGGCCATTGGGTCTGGCCTGATGCTTCTTTCATTCACCCCTGCCATGGGGGATCTGGGGAGGATTGGGGGTCTCCGTCATCCTGCACCCCTGCATCCTAGCCTGCTTCCAGTTCACAGACCCCCAAGCCAGCTCCGCGCTATTCCCGACTCCTCTCCACCAGCCCCTCGACATCTCCCCTTCCACAGGGGTTACCCCGCTCCGCCGTCCTGTACTGCCCTCGCCCCTGACCCCCTCTCCGGGGCGCGCCCCTACCCGCCAGGCAGGCGGTGGCGTCGATCCACTTGAGCAGCTGCCCCGCGTTCAGCTCCCCGCGCGCGTTGGCGTGCGCTGGCCGGATGGCCTGGCTCATGCGCACCTCGCCGGGCGCCGGCGGCTCCATGGCTCGGTCCGGACTGCCGAGCCCCGCGGCCACCGGCGCCCGGCTCGTCTGCCTGGCCGCGGGGTCCGCCCCTGCTCCAAAGGGCACCGCAGCCACCGCCCGTCCCGCCCGCGAATCCCGTGTCCGGCTCGTCGGCCCCGTGCCCTGGACGGTGCCCGGAACGTGGCCGCAGGAACGGAGCCAGGAGGGAGAAATCTAAGACGGCTTCTGTCCCGGAGGAAGCCAAATCCCGGGCAAACGAGGTTGGCAGAAGCCCAGGGGAAAGGCGTGAAAGGAGGATGGAGATGCTCCGCTCCCTGGACCGTGCTGAGAATTCCAGGACTCAGCACAGGGAAGCGCGCGGCAGGTGATCCTCGCCGGGTTTTGTCAGACAGCAGTCACTGCTTTTGGATGGCTTCCTGACATCTGCAGAGCTCCACAGGTGATGAGGACTTAAACTAATCAGCGGCGGATGGAACGACAGTACAGCGGCCAGGGCACTGGTCGTGCACGCAGTCAATCAGGGTTCGATCCAGGGCCCTCCATGAGAGATCTCTGATGCTAGAGTCTGGGGTAATCCCTGAGCACCGCCATGTGTGGTCCCCCAAACAACTGATTAGTTAGACGCTGCCTTTCTAATATACGCATTTTTCTTCCCAAACTTGAGCGTTTCATTCCCCACTATGGTTTTTGACTTAGCAGATTGGGGGCACTCGCTCCTCAAAGCCTCCTGCAGTTCACTCTTGACTCAGGATATTCCTTCAGATCATTATTTACTCCACAGAAATCTTTGTGCTTTTGTTGTAAAAAGACACTTCCCACCCCCTACTACCAAATAAACAAAAGTGCTTTGTAGATAGCACAGTAGGGCATTTGCCTTGCATGCAGCCCACCTGGGGACCTGGGTTCGGTTCTTCCTCCCCTCTCAGCCCCTCTCGGAGAGCAAGAATAGCATAGCGGGTAGGACGTTTGCCTTGCACGCTACCTACCCAGGTTTGATTCCTCCGATTTCTCTTTTCTATGCCCCTTCAGAGACCGCCAAGCTACTGAGAGTATCCGGCCCGCACATCAGAGCCTGGCAAGTTCCCCATGGCATATTTGATATGCCAAAAACAGTAACAAGTCTCACAATGGAGATGTTACTGATGCCCGCTGAAGCAAATCCATGAATAAGGGGAGGACAGTGCTACAGTGCTTTGTAGACACATTGGAGTTGCCCAACAAAGGAAGGTGGTCACCTACAGGACTTGAGCAGAGAGAATTTAAGTTTAGAAAATGTCATTTCATTCCTCAAAACCCCAGCAAATCATGAAGTGGTGGTGGGGGGAGGAGAAAGGACAGAGGGAGAAAATTTCTTGATCTGAGACAATTCATGGAACATTAAATGAGACTTTTTATTCTCAGCCTTTAGCACATAAAAGTTGTCACACGCTCTAGAGCTGAAATTGCTGACTTTATAAAGTAGTGCTTATTAAGGAAGATGGGACCCCAGAAAACTCCAGCATAAGCAGATCCCTAGATGTCATATTATTAGGACTGAGGGAGCATTTGCAGGTGAAAGATTGAAGCCTACAGAGGTGAAGTAAAGTACCAAAAGGGAAGCCCCTCAGTAGTAGGAATTCAGGCAGGAGGATAGCTGACTTGAATACATGGTTCTTGACCTCAACTTGATTGACGGACTCCAGTATTTAGGTGAGATTTTTCGCCCCTAAGCAGGTGACCTGGGACCTGGTGAACTTGGAGATATTAGAATGGAAGAATGGAGATTTTTGGTAATTTTGCTTTTCAAATATATACATGATGGGTAAGGGGGTCACACCATGCTGTGTTCAGGGCTTACTCCTGGCTCTGTGCTCAGGGATTGCTCTGGGCAATCTTGGAGAAACCATATGGAATGCCAGGGAATGAACGAACATGGGTTTGCCACATAAAAGGCAAGTTTCTTATCGCAATACTATGTCTCTAGCCCCTATAATCTTCTTTTTTAAAAATTTTTTAATTTATTGAATCACCATGAGAACAGCCACAAAGCCCCCAGTTTAAGTCTCAGTTGGTCATACAATGATCAAACACCCATCTTTTCACCAGTGCACACCTTCCACCACCAAGAACCCCAGTACACCCTTGTCTCACCCCTCCTGCCTGTGTGGCAGATTTCCACTTTACTCTCTCTCTACTTTGATCACATTCAATATTATGACGAAAGACCCACCATCATTTGGAATTTACCCCCAACAATCAGACCTGCCAAAAAGGCATCATTAGACAATCTATCTGTTTTCTATTGCTGATTATGAAGAGCATAAGAGCTTCTTTTTTTTTTTTTAAGGTGAGAGTAACCCTTTCATAAAGGTCCTTTCAGGATCCTCTGAGTAGATGAAAAATCTACCCAAAGAGGTAAGAGTTGGCCAGTTACATACACTGCCTACACCTGATCCTACTCTCAGGAATAGCTGACCTCTTCCATGAGAAGATTTTGCCTGAGTATTTGTCCCAGCATATCGTGATGTCAGATTTGGCTCACATATTACAGGGCCACCTTAGCCATCTCGCAGATTGCAGTCTGAAGTTGAACTACGCAGTAGACCTGTGGATTGATGAGAAAATTATAACCACGTATAATTTGGCAATCTTTGTTACACAGCACTGACAGTTACATGCATGCATTTCACTTATTAATATTTTAGGAAATGTGTTAAATTATCAGAAATAAAATTCTGGGTTTAGGTTAGGTGGTATTTTTTGGGTAAAAAGTCAATAATGTTGGTAATATTATCTATATGTTCATATGGTTTCTTATAAACATGGCACATTTCAAAAAGCCTAAATATGAGAAAGGTAATATTACAAAGTGACTATCTGGATGAGAGCATATACCTATAAATGTATGCATAGGGATGACTGATCAAAAAGCAGCTGTAGCACACTAACTCACTATTATGTTTTCTTAGCATGTCTTATATCCTGTTTTGATGTCTTTTGGTTATCGTTTCATATAACACTGATTTTTATTTTAACAACTTCTGCTTTATCAGAGGCTGCTTCATTTCTGACGTGGGCCTCTTTAGGTCACTTGAGTCCCCATTCCCTAAAGGTCACTATATTAATGCTAAACTTAGTACAAACATCCAATAGGCTTAATACATCACATCCCAGAACTCCGGCACTCATATGATCTCTCAACCTTATCCTCCTTAGTAGCTGGCACTGTAGGGATGCCCCACAATGCCTGGCAACAGCCTGCTTGAAATCATTCATGTTCTCTTGGAAGGTCTCTATTTCTTTTTCACAATGAAAATGTCATGCACATGTGAACATTTGTTGTCTCAGTTAGCTGTCAAGAATTTTTGCATTATATTTGAAGGAAAAACTTCCACGTTTCATTTCTGCTGAGAGACGTCTTTTGAAGATGGGCCAATTGCATCAATTGCCAAGCTAGTCTGACTTGAAAAGATCATGTGTGAGAGCAGCAAAGCTAATTGGGAAGATTGTTGGGAAGTTTTGTTGTCCCTAGATTAAGGAGATCATCATCTTTTCAAAGTTGGAGTGGTAGGGAAAGGAATTTACACCCCCCCCCCCAACTCTGGAGATCAGGGAATGATATGTTTGTCCAGGGTTACAGGCAAGGTAGTTATGGGGCTTTGAGAAAACTAAGAATTAGAAGCACATACTAGAAGAGAGAAGTAAAATGGACTTAAGAAGCATATTTTCCTACAAAAATGTGAGAGTTTATCTGTGTGGAAGCTGCAGAAAGCATTAGTAGCAGGAGTGTAATACCCAGGTAAGCAGCATTGGCATTACCTGAGAGCTTGTTAGAATCCATTTTGTGTCATGAAAGGGAAAGAACTTTCATTATAATTTTTCCCACATCTATCTCCAGTTTAATCAAGGCACTTTAAGATAAACAGATCACTAAAGGGTGGCCAGAGAGATACAGGAATTAAGGCAAATACCTTATAGGAGGCCAACTTTGGTTCAATCTCTAGTACCACATATGGTCCCTGAGCACCACCAGGAATCACCACTGAGCATAGAAATAAAAATAATCCCTTGGCAGGTGAGGCTTAAACACAAAATTAAATTCACTAAAGGGAATAATGATGCTGGAGAAAAAAACCTGGCCTAAGTCTAGAGGAATGTGTTTGTATCTGAACTGGACTCTCTTAGTGTGGGCTGTGATTATATCATTCACGAATTACTGTCTCATTAGGTTGTTCCTTTTTTCTGAAATGGTGATGCTGCACAGCCGCACCATATTGACTCACCCACAGTCTTTGCTCTATGATTCCCTACTAAATATCCAAAGAGATGCATGCCAACCAGCTCAAATTCATGCAAACACCAGACCCTGCAGCTGAAAACTCTAGGGCTCCCTCAGGAGGTGGGCAGGCCCAGTACCAGCTTTGTTGAAGCCCTGGCAGCTGCACTCAAATCCCATCACTGCAGGCACACCAAAGGCTCAACCCCACTGCTTCAAGAATATTATTTGCAGAAATGCTAAACTGCGAAAAATTTCAGGTACCCAGTGCTCAGACTTATAACTTTGGTGTCTTCTCAGAGTCAAGGTGAGAAGCCTTCCCCACAACCTCCTTCCCCCCACCTCCCCATGCTTCTGGAAACCCTAGAAACCAAACCTACCTCCCACTGCCAATGAGATTTTGACTCACCCATCTGCTCTACCTAATCCAGAATAAATCTCCCAGAAGATGTATACCCAGAAACTAAAATTCAGGGAAACACTGGTCCCTGTGTTTCAAGTCTGAAAACTCTGGATGCTCTTAGGAGGTAGGTGGGCCGAGTGCCCGTCCTCCTGAATCCCTGGCAGTCATACTCATACCCCACCACTGCAACCTTGCCAAAGGCTCAACTCCATCACTTTACAAATATTATCTGTAGAGAAACCAACTTCAAATAATTTTAGGTATCCCTGTGCACAGGTTGAGAACTCTGGTGTCTTTTCAGAGTCAGGGTGGGCAGAGCCCCCCCCCCCCCAACACACACAATGCCATGCTTCCAGATGCCCTGGCAGCTATGACCACCTCCTATATCACATCTCTA